AAAGGGCTAAAACCCGTATTTTTATGATTATGAAATGGGGTGTCACATGGTGACTTTTAATTGAAAGAATTATATTAAAAAATATTTATTTGGAAGGATTTTTATTCAAAAAGTATTATTTGAAAGAATTACCTTTGAAAGATATTTATTTGAGGAAATTATATTTGAAAGAGATTTATTGAAAGAATTATATTTGAAAGATACTTATTTGAGAAAATTATATTTGAAAGAGATTTATTGAAAGAATTATATTTGAAAGATATTTATTTTAGGAAATTATATTTGAAAGAGAGTTATTTGGAAGAATTATATGTGAAAGATATTTATTTGAAGGACTTGATTTAATTGGGTGTACTTGTATTTATTATTTGTTGAGCGATATTAATGGTGTTCTTGTTGCCATACTGTGCATATCACTGGTTGATTTGTGTTGCCCTTATTGTTGTCTGTTTCCTATTATTTTGTATATTATATTCCACAGGTTATTAGACTAGTGAGTGTCTTGACTGTACCTCGTCACTACTCCACTGAGGTTAGTATTGATACTTACTGGGTACCGATCGTGGTGTACTCATACTACACTTCTGCACATTTCTGTGCAGAGCCAGGTATTGGAGCTATCGGACTCGAACAGAGTTAAAGTGAGATTGCAAGGATTCAAGGTAGAGCCGCTTGGTCGTCGCAGTTCCTTAGAGTCTTTCCATTTTATTGTATTGTTAATTATTATTCAAACAGTATAGAGTATTCGATCCTTGAGATCATTTCATGTATTTAGTTAGAGTTTGTAACTCAGTATTACCAGTCTTGGGATGTTTTCATATTTGTTTTCGCTGTTGATTTTGATTACCTATTTAATTCAAAAAACAAAAATGGCTTGAAATGTAATTGTACTTGGCTTACCTAGTCTTAGAAACTAAGTGCCATCACGACGCCTGTGGTGGGATTTTGGGTCGTGACAGGTTTAATCCTTGGGTGAATGCTTCAGCTGCCCATTCATCCGGGACAGTCGGGAGCAACATTTTTTCGTTCTGAAATCGGATAACGAACCCTCGTAATAATTCAGATTCTCCTTGTGCGATCCTGAATATATCGGCCTTCCGGAATTGCACTTTTCTGGCCCCGACATGAGCCTTGATGAAAGAATCCGCGAGCATATCAAAGAAATCTATGGAATGCTCAGGTAATAATGAATACCACGTTAGGGCTCCCCTCGTGAGAGTTTCTCCAAATTTCTTTTGCAGCACAAATTCAATTTCGTGAGGAGTTAGATCATTCCCTTTTACCACCGTTGTGTAGGTGGTAATATGCTCCTGTGGGTCTGAAGTCCCATCATATTTTAGAATTTCAGGCATCTTGAACCGCTTCGAGATTAGTTCTGGTGTCACACTCAGCTTGTACGGTAATTGAATATACTTCTTCGAGTCTGGGCCTTTCAATACTGGTGGCGCGCCCGGGATTTGGTCCATACGGGCATTTATTTCTTTCATGAACCGTAAAAGTTCATTCTTGAACGGGTCGTTCTCGTTGTTGAAACCGGATCCGCTCCCCCCAGCCCTGTCGGAGCCAACTTTGCCCATGTGAGTGTTGTTATCGATTCTCTGTGTTGTTTGATTTGCGGGAACACCGGAGGAATTGGATCTTGTCTGTTTGCATTATTCGAAGCCCCCAATAGTGCCTGCTTCAGTTCCGTCATGACCTGATCCTGCTACGTGAGATGGCCTAGAATGATTGCATGTTGCTCTTGCAGGTTCCTCACCGCATCCATGATATATTCCTCATCAGCATCATCGGGAGTTGTATCCGAACCTGTCGAGGGTACTGCCTGTTATGCACCGGTGTGGCGTCGTTCTCCTCATTACGAGTGTTACTGATTGAATCCTCGAATTGAGGTTGATCCCCTCGAATTTTTGGGTTGTACGTGTTGTTAACAGTATTATCTGCCATTTTTTGTGATTTTTTCTAAGACAAAAATAATCAAATTGCGTTAGTAAAAAAAAAGGGATAAATTTAATTGCACGGCTGTCTAGGCCTCACGGTGGGCGCCAAACGGTTTACCTGTAAAATGGTACAATTAAATTTATTCGTGGTTTCTAGACAAGTGAATTAATTTGATCCTGAAATAATACAATAATTGAAGAAATGTATAATACTTGGCATTGAAATATTGATGAAAATAGTACAGATAACAATTCCTTGAGCAGTGTTTCCGGACACAACGATGATGAGATCAAAAAACAAGAAAGTAAAATTGTATAAAGTTTTGCATAGAATAGAGTGTAGGTTTAGCCAGAAAATTCGTGTCCTTTATAATGATAACTGAGCTCACTATTTATAGCTTTGTCTAGGGAAGGAAGTCCTAGGATCATGTCCTCCTTTAATGTCAATTATGAGGGTAATTGATGAAGACGTAACGGTGAACATAAATGCCAAATTCTCTGTAACGGACAGTCGTTCTTAATGCTGCAGAATATTCACTATTAAATGCTATCGGGCACAGAATATTTAACACACCTTTATGAACGTTATCCTTTTCGGTTACAAGTGAAATGACTGCATTCGGTCTTCGGTCATTACTATCTTGGGTTCCACGTGTTCTCTCTTTAGACGTACACGTGTCGTATCATATTTCACCCTATAGAAACAAAAAATGTTTTAGGTTCGCTTGGTCATGAATCAGGTTGACAACTAGTTCTTGTTACATATTTTAGTACTTGTTACATATTAGTTTGGCTATGAGTATTTGCACATAGTAAATTTCAGTATGTGAACTTCGAGTGAAATATTGAACTACTGATTTGAGGATAATCTTAGGTGAAATATCGTTTTCTACTCGTGAATCATAAATTTTTGCAAACTTGTTTTAACTGATGTTCATGTCTAAAAACAACTTAAACTTCCACGATTTCTTTTCCTAATGTTCAACTTCAAATATTCTCCTTTAATCATATTCTCAAATATTATCCAAATGGATTTTTTTCCCTGGTAGTATGTAAATGAATATAAAAAGATTTTTATTCGGCATTGACTATCAGTTTTTCCTATATATACCATATTACAAACTATTTTATAATTTAACTATTTTTTGCTAAATACCAAAAGTAATTAGAATTTTTTTATAATTTGTATATATTTTCTTTTAGAAGGCTACCAACTTTGATTAGTGCATTCAATTAAGATATTTAGTTACACCATTTTTTTTTTCCTTTCTCTTTCTTCTCCTCTCTCCTTATTCTTCTGCACCTCCCTCCTGTTTCCCGAATTTCTCTCGCCGCCGACTGATTTCCGGCCAAATAAACCCCTAATCTTTTCTCATTCTCCCCTTCTTTATCCAAATCAGTAAGAAACCACTTCAAACACCATGCACCTACATTGTCGCGCCTGAAAACGGCCAACTACCAGGCCAACCATCGGCAATGACTCATCGAAAGAACATGGCAACAACCCCCTTCTCTACTTTTTCTTCTTTAGCAAATCGAGCAAGAAAAGAAGAATGTATGGTACATTAACATACAAATTAAATACAACGTTAATATAAAATTAATATATTTATAGTAGCCAAATTTGATATAAATTGTCTACAACAATAGATAAATTAAATATAATTTTTATACAATTAATCATATAATATATAATTTATTTACAACTTATATACAACTTTCATATAATATTCTTGCAAGTTTAATATGACTACAATATCATACAACTTAAATAATTTTTTTTTACAATATTCATATAATATGTCTTTGTGCGTATTTTGTGTGTGGTGTGTTCTTCCTTTTTGATTTTCAATCCAAAATTTCAACCAAAACTAACTCTAGTCTTCACATATCCTCTCATTTCTCCCTCTTCCTCTTAATCCCTCTTTTGTCGCCGGATTAAGCTATGGTTATCAGAGGTTTTTGGCTAGTTTTTATTAAGTTTGCTACTATTTTTGAATGATTTTAATAGTGGTCTAAGGGTAATTTTAGGTGATTTTACTATTAGGTTTTAATGGAGGAGGAAGAAGAAAATATTCTATGGAGTTTTTCACGATAGTCGAGGTCATTCATGGCATCACGGATGAACTCCAACGTGGTGGTGATGGTGGTGAGTGGGTGGGGGGTTGCGTTACGTGAACTGCAACGCGGGGGTTGTCGGGTTGGGATACGCTACCCATTTTGGGGATAATTGTTGAGGATAACTGATGCGTGTGTATCTGTTGTTCCCTATTAAATGCTTAATATTAATGGATCCTTAGTTATCACTAATTTGTATATAATTAAATTTGTATACTAGATGTAATTAAGTGATAACCTCTCTAGTTGGATAAATAAGTTTGTAATATAACATAGTTAGGTAAAAATCTCTAGACATGTTAACTAGGCTGATCCGGAATAAGGGTTTAGCCTGGGGGCCTCTAGTCCTGGCCCATATAAGTGGCTAGATTTGGGGTCGTACTTTTTTGGTACGGGAAAATGATATTGTATAGCCGCTCTCAAAATAATAGCCGAAAAAATATATATTTTTTGTATGTTATATATAAATTTTATGCACCTTTTTCGGCTACTGAATATAAATAGTTTCTGGCGCGGGCTAAAAATGAAAAAAGCCCTTTTGGTACTGGGGCTCTACAGGACTCATGACCCATTAAGCTAATAGGTTGGGCTGAGCTCATCCGTGTTTAATTGGGTCATGTTTTTTCTCTTTGTTTTTTTGAGTTTGGTCTAATTTTATGGATAAACTCAAGCTAAAGTAAAGTGTGGTGGCCACCATTAATTAATTTGCTTCTTCAGGTTTCAATTATTGTATGTCTAACTCTCCCTTGCAAAAAGGAAAAGAAATAATTAGCAGAGGGTCAAAGAATTCATACCATGAATGGAATTTTAAAAAATTATAAGTAACCAACGAAAAAGAATCAACTTTATACATATCAATATAATACTAGACCCACAAATAACAAATAGCATTTTCTTATTCATGTCAAATTTGAATCTTCAAATGATATTAACAAATCAAAAGAATCAGTCTTAAAGCCATATACATATAGTAGTCCCACAAAAAATAAAAAATAAAGAACTTTCTTCATCTTTTCTACATATACTACTGCTATTGAGTGTCTCTGTAACAAATATGAACACCATCCAAAACCCCTTTAGTAAACTCTACGAGATGAAAAAGTACAACAACAGTTGATGTGGGCACACTCAATGCAACAAGTGCAACCTTGGTCAACACCGAGGGATCAAATTTCTTAAGGAAATACAGTTTTCTGTTAGGCTCAAAACTTTTATTTATTCTATTTTATTTTATTTTTTTGCAGAAATTATTTTCGAATACAGATACTAACATATACTACTGTTATTGAGTTTTTCTCTTTAACAAATATGAACACCAGCCAAAACCCCTTTAGTAAACTCTACGAGGTTAAAAAGTACAACAACAGTTGATATGGGCACACTCAATGCAACAAGTGCAACCATCCCAAAAGCCAAGCCTGGCCTTGTATTCATCAACAAAGATTGCAATAATCCCATGGCTTCACAAATACTCGAATTATAATTCCCATAAATCTTCTTCTCCCAAACCATCCATTCTGCTGGTGGCTCGTAATTCTTCTCAATCATCTTCATCTCTTGAATTCTTTTCCTAAGAACAATCATGTTTTCGTCCACATTTCTACCATTATAATAGTTCTGATCATTGGCTTCTCTTTTCATAGCCAAAGTCATTATTTTTGTATTTATTGATCTTTTTTGAGAAAATGGTTTGGATGGAAGTGATGGTATTGAAAGAATAGAAGTAGTTGATGCCATTTTTTGAATTTTGCTGTGTCATTTAGAATGTGTTGTGTGATATTTATAGAAGATCATATTAGAAATGTAAGCACACTTTAATTTATTTTCAAGGGACATGTCTTAGCAAATAAGGAATGAGCAAAACCGTGTCAGCACACCGCAATTGTGCCTGTCTTACAAATAATTTTTAGCAAATGAGCAAGTGCCATCAAATCACATCATACATTTAAGGATTTAACGTGAAGTATGGATTGCGTACTGCGAAAAGCATCATAATATCATGAGATTTAAGTCATAAGTAGTAATTTAACGTTTGAAGCAATTTAATTATAGCTTGTTTGGAGGGTTGTTACCTATTGTCTTGTATCGCATTATAACTTTAAATACGATATTTTTTTTGATTGTTACTTAAATTTTATTGTATCGTATAGTTAAATTCGTTGTTACGTAACATCGACGAAATGTGGCACTTTGTGTAACGACCGATTTGGTATGGTCGTATCGTTACCTTATCTTTTTTTCTCATCTCGCCCTTTATTATTATTAAATAATTTAATTTTATCATTTACCCTATTTTTTTATAGGATAATTCTACCTCGTATCATAATCTTTTTTAATAATATTGTAAGTTTATTCTGCATATTGCTGGTGCGTGATATTATGAAACGACGGCAAACGATACAATATATGCAAACATTGTATTTATCAAACAATATAGTACAATACAGTACAATACAATACGATATATTATGAAACAATATGTAACATCTATCCAAACAAGGTGTTAGTTGTATCATTTTTATTAGATTATTAATTATTTTTACTGTATAAATTTACTCATAATTACATTACAGATAATGAGATTGTGTAAATTTCTTTTATACCATCTATGCATATATAGAACATAAACTCAGTAGCAAAATCCATGATCATCTTCTAAGTTCTATTGCTATACCTAATGATATTTTTTTTTTATACCAAATATAAATTAAATTATGTATTTTTTATCGTCACAAGTCACGCTTTATACCTTAACTGCTACAAAACTACCTTACGCACGAAATTAATTACTCCTATTATCAACCTATATTTGTTGAAGCAAATATGGGGAGTATCTACTAATCCAATATTTTCAGCGTTAAACATTATATATAAAACTATTTCTTCTAAAAACACTTTTCAAATTTTTAAAAAAACGTTTTTTTTTGGGTCATATTATTAGATATGGTCAAAATAATTATTATACTAATTATTCTAGAAACGCACTTATAGACTTATAACTCGCTCTTAATTATCAGGGTGTCCTTGGAACTTGTCAAAGGAAAGGAGGAGAAATTGTTAGCATTTTTTTAAGTAGTTTGATATCATAATATATAACACCGCCAGATATCTTTGGCTTGACTTTTGATGATTTGATGAGGACGTCTCTTTTATTTATTGTAAGTGATTTCCAACGTAACAGAATCATTTCTGGAATGATGTTCTCTAATTAAAATAAATTACTACTTAGTAGTTTACTATTAATTAATAATGTCGTTTAATTAAGTATTTGTTGGACTAATGGTGTCAAAGAAGAGCTATATGGTTGTATAACACAAGGATGTTTCCTAGGAAGAAACTTTATTAAAATAAGACAAAAGGAGGAAACCTTTTTTAAAAATATATTAAGAAGTAATTGTCTGGCAAAATTTCAGAGCTTTCTCTGTTGTTTCTTGGAGTTTCGTCATACCAAGTTTAAAGGGTTATGTATTCAACCTTATTGAGCCAACAAGGTAACTCGATAATTGCGGAGTTTGAGCATAGAGCCCTATGGGCTTTGAGGCAGTTGAATTTGGATATGGAAACTGTTGGCACAGGTAAAATTACAAAGTTACATGAACCCCAGGAGTTTCGATTCCATGCATTCGAGAGTACAAGATTATATAAGGAAAGGATGAAGATGATGTACGATAAGCACATTCTAGAGAGAAACTTCAAACCCGGAGATTTAATGTTGTTATATAACTCGAGATTGGGGTTATTTTTGGGTAAGCTAAAATCTAGATGATCGGGACCATTTAGAGTTGTGCAACTGTTCCCAAGTAGACCTGTAAAAATTGAGTCCGAAGATGGGACTAACATGTTTAGAGTGAATGGGCAAAGGTTAAAACACTACCTTGGAATGATTGAAAAAAAGGAGAGAAAGATGTGATGTACTTGAACGAACCCCAATATGTGAGTGAACCATAATCCTGAAAGCTTGCGTCGTATCACGACGTTAAACAAGGTATTGTGTGGGAGGCAACTCGCGACTTTAAGTCCTTATTGGTATTTTATTTAACTTGTTTTAGTTGTAGTAAATTAATTTTGGTTGGTTAGTTTTGTTTATCTTGCGGGATTAATACACAACTATAAAGTTCATGGAGTAAGTAAAGTAACCCCGAGAAAGGATTAGCTTAAAAAAATTCACAAATTATTGTAACGGTAAGAAAAAAAAAACCAATAAAAAAAATATTAATCGAACGCATGGGCATTGTACAAATTGCTAGAGAATTTTTTTTTTGAGGCTCATGTGTTGCATCAAAATCATGGGCAAGGAGAATTTTTTCTCTTCTCAACGGTTAGCTAAAGGACTATTGCATAGGTATAGCACAACAAGGAGAATTTTATTTCTCCTTAACAGTGAGCTAAAGGACTATAGCACATGTATAGCACAACAAGAAAATTTATTTTCCTTAACAGTGAGCTAAAGGACTATAGCACAGTTACAACACAACAAGTAACTGATTTTTTTTTCTAAGTCTAAACGCAGCCTCCCTCAAATAAACCCTTCCCCTTATTTTCCTCCTCACTAATTGAAAGC